CAAACAACCTCAATTCAGGAACAATCGAGAGAATTCTGAAAGTGTCCGTGCGCATTTACAGGGAGGTGTACACCATTCAACATTGCGTTAACGGACTCTTCAGGGTTAAATTTATAAACATGTAACCTTTAAAGTTGAGAAACGCTAATCAATCACTTTTCTTAGAAAGAGAAAAGCAGTGATTCCAAATCTGCTCTTACTTTAGTACATAATCGCCCTTAAAAGGATATACAGCCGTTGAAATAGTGCCAATGTAGCGAAAAAGTACCTTTCGGCGGTACTCGTGCAAAATCCTCAACGTAGCCGTTTTTTTAATACTGGACGTTTGGAGCAGTTCTAGTAAGCATTTGATAGAGCAAATCTTCTAGTTTATGATGGCGTATTTACTTTTCGGATTGGATGAGTTTGAACGGAGTTATGGCTTTAGGAAGTAAAAAACTCGCACTCATCACAAATTTTCCTCGTTAATTTTGCAAAAATCCTCAACGTGGCCATTTTTTGAGTACTGGACGTATGAAGCTGCTTTAGCGACCGTTTGATAGAGAAAATCTTCTAGTTTTGTATGACGTATCAACTTTTTGAATTTGACGGAAATGAAGCAAGTTATTGCTCCGGAAAGTGTAAAAACTCGTGCTCGTCTCGAATTTTCCTCGTTATTTGATCTAAATTTGTTATTTCTTATAACTTCCTGTAATTTCAGTACTGATTAGAAAAAGCTCTTCACAAAACTCCCAATCAGCTTTCAGATTGAAAATTCGTTAACTTTGAAGAAAGTTATAATCATTTGAATATTTGTTCAAATTTCAATAGTAAATAAGCTGCTCCACGGTCAACGCCAAAGTCCAGTCAACACACAGCTGGCGAAGGCTTTTACAAGGCTTCCTTTGAGCGAAAGGGGGACGTGTAAATTGAGAACCATAATCTGTGTAGTACTAGAATTTGGTAAGTCTTGTGGAGGAAATAAATAAAGAACAGATGTTGTCATAGTATGCCATTTTTAGTGGCTAGTTTGTCGTTTTCTGGTCTGTTTCTCGTTGCTCGTTTGGTAGGACTCATCAATAATGATTATTCTTTGACTTTTTCACTTTTGTACTTCTTAAACGAATTTTTTTGTGGGCGGTGGGGTAGCAGGGCTTTTTTATGAGCAGTTTTGGGGAGAATTAAACAACTTTTCAACCTTTTCATAGTTCGGCTTTTGAAGAGGGTTGTTTCATGGACTTCGGCCTCCGGCGGAGGGTGGTGGGGGGGGGGTCGTATTTCCAAATTTTCCTCGACGCCTCGCTTGACCCTGCTTCGATCACACCAATTAGTCTCCCGCTCGTCGCCAATTTTCTGCGGATCGTCGAACCAACTGGTCTTGGGCCGTCTTGCTTACTTTTGCCTGGTACCTTGGCTCACCCAGCTCTTCTCTACGACCTTGACGCACCTATCTATGTCGTTTTCACTACTATCCGCTTCATCAGGGTCGAAGGCGCTGAGCTCCCGCAAGTTGATCCGGCGGGAGACTTTCCTTGTATTCATCACCAGTTTAGCTTCGCACGCTTCCGCGTGCATGACATCAAATGGCTTCAGTGAAGCTGGAACCGTGCGTCAGTCCTCCGGTGGAAAAGTTGCCGTTACCTTACTGTCCGCTTGGTATCGCGCGTGGAAGTATACGAAAGCTTAAAATCGCTGTTGGTAAACATGGTAATCAACCGCCATCGCATCGCATGTCGAGATAATTTGGCCGTCGTACAACGTTTGATGCTAATGACGTTGAAATGGAATACCCATCACTGAGTTATCATGTTTCTTCGAAAATCCATCCGTGTTTTTCAGGAGTTATGGGGAGAATAGCGGCCAATGGTAATTTGGGCTGAGGACGATGCATGTGACATTTATTTATTTATTTATTTATTTATTTATTTGTTTTCATACGTCTAACGACGTGTCGTCCCCGAAGGGAGAGTAGAAAAAGCAACACAAATCAGGGCAAAAGAAGGAGAGCAATACGAATTAAAAAGAAACTAGTAGAAACAGAAGAGCACAAAGATCCTACTGAGGAGTATGGAAGGAAGTGTTTTGTAAAAGGCAGGGAAGCATTAGGCCAAAAATAGCCAGAGCGGGCTGTCAATAATACCACAGTCATTATTGTGTTACATGTGTGGTAAGGGGGAGGAGGCAGTACTTGATTAAGGGAATTTAATAGGTCATAGGAAAAGAAAGGAAAAAATATTAGATAATTTTGTATGAGGACAGGACACACTTAACACGAAAAAAGCAAGCACTGAAACCCACCAACACGTACCTCATCAGCTGGTCAATGATCCCTCGGCCACCCGTGGTTCAATAGGCAACTTGCCGAAGCTCGCGAAACACGGACATACCGCCGCCCACGGTGGCATTCGGCAAAGCTGTAAAATTGGAGAGAGAGAGGCAGGCCACTAGGCAGAGGAGAAGCTGCACTATCCACTGTTACTGAGCTACGCCATACGACCATTTGAGAAGAAGCAAATTAAGGAGAGCAAGGCAAAGCAATAAACGGTAGTTGCTTAGCTAATCCACTAGTATATCTGAAATGAGGACATTTTATGTCCAAGTCGGCAGGGAGGTTTTCTTATCGTTTTTACTACCTCATACATATTATCCGTTTTATCCGCAATTTATTCTGTCGCTAGAATTTATTTTTAACTATTCAAGTACTCGGGTGCTACCTAAGCACCAGTTTGATCGTTTTTTTTTCGTTGGCTTTGAAGTTGTGTTCCTCCATGTGCCTGACACATGCAATAAATAAAAAATAAATAAATAAGCAATAAACGGTTAGTTGCTCAACTAATCCACTAGGATATAAGCCTCTGACCCATATAAGCCAAGCAAATAACACAAGAAAACTACAGTAAGAACTCCAACTAAAGTAGGCACATACTAGTCACTCGCAAGGCACACATTCCAAATGAATATCTTAACTGGCAAAAGCCGGCAAAAGCCACCAAATCAGAAAGCAACTTAAAAGACAAGGAACTGGGCAAGCATCAGAGCAATACGTTTACTGCCGGACGACCTAGTCCGACGATAGAAGGCAATGCTGCCTCAGGACGAGACTTGAGTTGTCCGCCTCACGCAATTGTAAAAGATTTTGACGGAATCGTAGCACAACAGTCCCAGCCATTGATACACGAGGACATCGACGAAGGTAGTGAACCACTTCAACACCACAACGATGACTGGTCAGAAACAGAGCAAACGATATTTCCATTGCTCATCATAGAGAGGAGGCTTGAAATGATATTGAAATCAATTGTTATCTCATATCTGCTTTTGGGTGGCCTCTATGTTCTTACGAATGTTATTCGTTACGAAACTTCGATTAAGTTAATTACGATTCTCGTGGTTTACTTTCTACGATCATTAGTTATCTCCATGCGGTTTACAAGCCGAACCGCTATGGTAAAAACGGGTCGGAGCAACATTCATAGTGCAATGACCTAACTATCATTTCGCAGCTTGCCTGGGGTGAACTAGAGTAGTAGTTCTCAGCAATATTTGTTGTTTGAGGAAGCAACAATTTTTATCCTCATTTTTTTTCGAAAATACCCGCTTTGCCTATGACGCAAAATCATAGTTCCACCTCATGTTTCTCCGCTGCATTTTGCTTTTACCCAATCAAATTTTGAAATTATTACCCATTCAAGTTCCTTAGCTTATAGCAAAGGCAAAACCGCTGTCAGACTTCCGTAAAAGGAAAATCCTAGCAAAAGAGACGCAGGAATTGTTGAAGTGTCAGCTCACGCTGGAATTTGTCGGGGTGACTTCATAACGAACAAATTTCTCAAGGATGCTACAGGATATGATACTGGGAGGCCCTTATTACTATCCGACTCTTCATACCTGCTTGCTCGGCTTTCTGCAGTTTAGCATAATAATCCTGCAAGCCTTGTTTGGGGCGTTGCGTACGTGACATTAGACCGTGACGTTAGAATCAACTTCTTGGGTTGAGAGTAACCAGCCATAGTTTCACTCTATTGCTTCAGCTTCACCTGCTGAGGCTCATTCTCTTGCATCAACGATTGCTACAGCTTATGATTGCTCCCTCCAGTTCTGCAAAAATATTAACCTTTGTTCCATTTCATCACTCACTTTCCTTAATGTGAGAATATTATTGAAAAGCCTTCACCAAGTGTGCCACGGTGTGCTCGGCGCTTATGTGCTAGGCGCACGGCCTCGGCACACCCCTGCAAGGTTGTGGGGTCCGTCACTGCTGCCGCATTGCTGGAGGATGTACTATACTGAGTCGCTATCTTCTTCATTGCTTGACGTAGTTGCCTTGATCCAACAGTCTTCTACTTCCTCTTTTCCAATCGTGGAGCCTTTACCTGATCGCCACGATGACTGATTATCATCAGAAAGTATATTCACTGATTAGTAGCCATTTAAGTTTATGTTAAACAGTTTATGAGGGTTCAAACTGAGGCACTGGTTGTGCAAGCTTGAAGTTCCAAAATATCTCGAAATTGAAGATGGACAGCAGCCATGTGTTTAGTGGATTCAAGGCACTAGTGGAACTTCTACAGTCACAGAAGTAATAAAAGATATAAAGGGAGCTCAAAATCAATGTGCATACCGGGCGATGCACAAATGTCAGGTGTGGGAGTTTCGACGTGCATACCCGGAGATCACGCGGGCTTCAATATGTTAACAACGGCGAATGTGTCACCTCTATGGTCTATTCAACCCCCATTTCCTGGTTTTTTGGATGTTTTTGGACGAAAAACGCCTATTTTTTCACGAAAAATTTTACTTTAAGCGCACGCCCCGCCCACAGGAGGCGGAGTTTAGCATGGCCAATACATTCCCCTTATAGAGCGGTGTGTCCAGCTTATGAGTGATAATATTTTATCAGATTATTAAGTTGTACAATTACATGCATCAAATCAATTCCAGAAACAAATCATTGCCTATAGAATTAAAGTCACTCGAAGGGGAGAAGCGCGCAGTATTCGTCAGGGAGATCATGATCAGAGTTATCCGTAATATCCGTGTCCATAGCCTCCGCCATAACCGCCACCATATCCACCTCCGTAACCTGGGTATCCACCATAGAACGAACGACGGAAGTATGGTCGGTATCCTGATTCATAAATACATGAGTATAATACAATTTATGCATTTTTTGCAGATGAACTCTTTTCCCCCATTATCAAACCGTTTGCCACCACTTACCGTAGCCTCCGCCGTATCCACCACCATATCCGCGACCGTATCCGCCGCCGTAGCCGCCGTAACCACCATGGTAGCCTCCCCACTGGGCGTCAACGACGCACAGTACGGCGATCAAACAGAGAACAGCAAGTAAAATATTGGAAATCATTCTGTAATCCGAAATTTATTGTAAACGTGGGACCCTTTGGTGATCCATGTGAGATAATAGCGAAGCTTTACAGCTAAAAGAATCTGTCCAAGATGATGCGTAGCTTGAAGACGCGAAAAGGCGGTCAGAAGAAGCGTCCCTTATCATAGAAAAGTTGCTAAAAGATAAGAGTACGCTTTTAGAACTCTGGTTTTGCAGCGTTTTGAATGACAGCGTGAATCTCGTTTACATTTGAAGGCGATTATGCTGGATTCCAACTTTATCAGGTTGACCCCGTCACACTATTCATATTGCAGCCTTACTGGAGGCTGCGTATGTTGCATCATGTTTGGGAATACTTCCCTGTTGGAAACTCGTGCTCGTTCCAGATGTGGAAACTCGATGCTCTTCAAAAATTTTAAGGGAAAACATTTTTTGTTTAGAATCCTTTTTTGTTAAGAGCAAAACCGCTCGCGCGACTATTGCGCCAGGTGTATACTGGGAATTTGAACGTGTTCTCTATTCGGCCACATCTACAACTTTTCATTAAGGCTGAAAGGAGCTGATCGTTTTTCGTTTTTTCCTATACAGAGAGCTGGTAATAAGTTGAGGATACGGTAGTTGGTGGGCGCGGTAGCGCAAGTTGCCTTTAGTTCACTAGATCTCCAATTTGAATATTTCCAAGGTGAACTGAGTTGAACCAAGAAATAATAAAGGTCAAGTTTAATGGTTTGCAGTTTTTAGTCAAAGTCATTCAAAATAGTCTTCAAAACAAAAAGAATTCAAACGCGTAGCACATACCAAAAGAATTCATTGAGATTGGGCACCATACTGTTTTTTTTCACCTTTTCAATTGAGAAGGTTTGCCGAACAAGCTCAATTAAATGGTTCACAGGATTGTGTTTGAATCAAGCTTTGGTTTAGGATAATAGAAAAGAACTGAGCACGAGAATGTGGTCACTTTAACGCTCGTCCTGTCCTTTTATACAATTTCAGATAGCTGGTGATTCGCCGAACAACACGGAAATCGTTGACTGTTCGACGAAAAACCCCCTATCCCTCCTATCCCTCGGGGAATCTTCTCGCCGTGATTGACGCCGAAAACAGTGAGCGAATCTTTCACGGCCGTATGGTTCATGCGGCCGATTGTGTTGGCCAAATTAACTATGCGAACCACGAGAATCCATATGCATGACTCAAACAAACAAATACCGTTTTCAAAGTCTTAGAATTCTTCCTAATTTTTTTGATTCAGCTCATCTAAACCGTCAAGTGCTTACGCCTTCTCCGTAGCAAATTTTCTCAAACTGCCGCTTTGTCAGCGGATTTTTCAGCCTATTCCTTCAGAAGGGCGAAAGTTGTGAAGATGGAGTCCTGAGTCGATTCAGGGAAGGGATGAGCCTTGGCCTTTTGAGGTTGGTTCGTACTTCAAAGGGATAGGGGCTCCGTTCTACCGGAGTAAGAGCGTTGACTCGTACATCAACTAGCAGTTGTCAGTCGTTGTATACTGACTAGCTGAAAGTATAGGATGCGGCGTTGAGCACTTGCTAACATTGAGCCAATGAACATTTACGGTGTCTTTTTTCTCGGAATTTGTTGATAGTCATCA